AGGGGAAGCCCCTCGGGGAGATGGATTGACAGTGGCTGCACCCACGGCTCACACACAGCGGGGACTGTGAGGCTGCGGCAGGACCCGCGGTGTTTCCTTCTGTTGCGCATGGGGTCGACTCTAGCACCTAACACGTCTGGCTTTGGGCACAGAGGCCTTACAGGTCAGCAAGGGAGACAGGCAAATAACAAAACCCAGCTGTTTCTCTGGGCCTGGGAGCCAACTGCTCACCCTTCCTCAATGAAGGAGCCCTGGTGGCACAGTGGTTAAAGCGCTCGACTGCCATCCAAAAGGTCAGCGGTTGGAACTCGCCAAAGATGTGGCAGTCGGATTACACAGACTGACAGCCTTGGAAACCCTGTGGGCAGTTCTCCTCTGTCCTGCAGGGGCACTGTGAGTCGGAAGGGACTCCACTGCCGTGAGGTGGGGTGGGTTTTGGTTCCCCGCGTGAAGGCGGACAACGTGGGACATGCTAAGTATTTGTCCTGTGAGTTTCGGCTCTGAGAACCTTGTCCTCTGACGCGGTCCTTAACCATCTGCCCGACCCTCCCGGAAGGCGCTAACTCGTGATGGCCCGATGCCTGTTGGTCCCACTCACCATCCTGTATTGAAACTATGTCTGCAAGCCGCACGAGGCAGTGAGACAAAGCTTTCTAACCTAAGACGCAGTACTGCGTGAGTTGGGCGGGTTACGCTCCCGTTTCCTGCCAAATGCGTTGTTCTAAGAATTAAATGACATAACGTGTGCCAAAATACCCAGCACCGTGTGTCCCCAGGGCCTGGCACCGCGCCGGCCACGACGCAGGCAATGTCGGTGGAGGGGACAGGAGCTTGCCGCCCCTCCTCCACCCCAACACAACGTCGCTTCTTGGAACGATCGCCCCCACCCCTCGCCGTCCTCTTGGCAGTTCCCCCGGCCAACTGCCCCGTCTCCCGATCAGCAGCACGTTCCTGGGACAACGGCTCGCGTCGCCTCTGGGTAAAAGGGAAGCGTGAACTCCAACCCCACCACCTCTCCTCGATACCAAGGGGAGCGGGCACCTCCGGGATGCCGCGGAATCTGTTGGAAGGAGCCGAAACCCCGGCGACTGCTGCGGAGAGGCGCCACTCCCACCGCGGCGCATACACAAGCACGGGCGCTTCCCAAACTACACCTCCCAGAAAGCTGCGGGAGTGCGAGGAACCAATCGCAGGGCAGGTGGGCGGGCTCACCGGGACTTACGCATCCCAGAGGGCGCTACGCCACACACTCGCAGCCAAGGGATCCCACAGCTGCTTCTCCCGTAATGGCAGCGTGGCAACCAGGGAGCCACTGCACTCGCTGGTATCCTGGGCACCGTGCCGAGGAAGTGCAATTGGCCCGCCCAGGGATCGAGAGTGGGGGCCCGCTGGAAGTGTACCTAGACGCGTGGTCCCAAAACACCAGCTAAGGAGACATCATTCATTCATGATAACGACAAATATTTATTGCCTACTATGTGCACATGCAAACTGTGCCTTGGACCGATCAGGCAAGATCCCTGCCCCAAAGTGCTCATCTGGGGTGCGGAAAGGCCGCTAGGCCATAAACAAGTAAATGGTTTCCAACTTTGGTTAAGAGCTGTGAAACAGACCGTTCCGCCCAGCACGGAGCACTGCTGTCCCTCATTCATAAATGGCGAAACAAGGGTTTTCAAACCGTGTCTCGGAACCCTACGGATTCTGAAACTTGCTTCTGTCAAGATTCCTTTGGGAAAATCTAGGAAAAGGCCTAGGGATAATGGCTTTGCTCAGAAAAAAGCATGTGCTCTTCCAGTTTCCTACGGCATTTCAGAAGGGCAATGTACTCCCTGACGTCCACCTGGAGGAAGCAGGGTTTTGAGCGCAGACTTCCACTTCAGTCACAGCACACCCCGCTTTTTAACTGTTTTACATATTGGACCCTTAAGAAAAATTTTCTTTGAAAATTTTACTGCAGCCAAAAAAAGAAAGAAAGAAAAAAAAAAAAAGAAAGACCCAGCTAGATGGTCTATGTGCATTCACATGCCAATGTTCTATCTGTCCTACCTATGTTCAGGTAGGGCATGCTGGTGGCACAGTGGTGAAAGCCTTTGACTGCGAAACTAAAGGTCAGCGGTTTAAATCCACCTGCTGCTCTGAGGGAGAAAGATGAGGCAATCTGCTTCCATAAAGATTTACAGCCCTATGGGGCAGTTCTATTATCTTGTAGGGTCACTGAGTCAGAATCAACTTGCGGGCAGTGGGTCTGTTTGTTTTCTTTTTTCTGTTTTAATGTGCAAAGATGGCCAATATATAGTATGTGAAAAAAACAAAGTTGCAGTACAATGTATATAGTGTGATCTCAGGTTGGTAAATAATTGGGAAAATATTTTAAAAATTAAATATCTGGAGAGCTCTTACTGTGGTGCAGTGCTTAAAGCACTTGGCTGCCAACCCAAAGTTGAGCAGCTTGAAACTACCAGTTGCTCCTTGGCAGAAAAATGTGACAGTCTGCCCCAGTGAAGATGAGCCTTGGAAATCCTGTGTGGCAGTTGTACTCTTATCCTGTGGAGTCAGTATGAGTCTGAATTGACTGCATAGGTTACCTTAATAACAGCTAATATTTATTGTGGGAGCTCTGGGAGCGTAGTGCCTAAGGCACTTGACTGCTAACCAGAAGGCTGGTAGTTCAAACCCACCAGCCACTCCTCGGAAGGAAAGTTGGGCAATCTACTTCAGTAGTGATACTGCCTGGGCAACCCAAGGAGGGGTGGCCACAAGTAGGGTCCAACTCGATGGCAGATAACAACAACATTTATTGTGTTCCTGTTACATAAGGGGTACTGATCCAAGCAGCCCCATGTTAGCTCATTATGATGCAGATGAGGAAATATACATGAGGGACCTGAGCCTTGAAGCTTCCAAAAGCAAAAGCCAAACCCACTGCCATCTGTCAGAAAGTTCTGACTCAAGAGCCCCTGGAGAACCGAGTACAAGTGGCCCACAGGGTTTCCAAGGCTGTCATCTTTACAGAAGCTGACTGCCTCATGTATCTCCCGTAGAGCAGCAGTGGGTTCGAACTACCCAGCTTTTGGTTAGCAGCCAAATGCTTCAGCCACTACACTCCCAGAGCTTTCAGGCGTAGCAGGATGAAATAACTTGTCTGGGATCGTATGTATGCCAGAGAGAAGTGGTTATAAGGTTTAAATGCAGACTCCTGAAATTTGAACGTCTAAAAACATCAAAGTGGCCTTAGGGGCCTCTGAAGTCACTGAAGTGGTGCCAAGTCTCACTTTTCCCAAACGGATGGGAAATGGGCTCTATCTGTCCGTTACTATGGGACCTCTGGGGCCCCATTTCCTGCCACGGCTTGTGTTTCTGGAGCGGAACAAGGGAAAATGAAACATTCTGGACTGTTCCCACCCAGTCAACCCAAATCCACTGTCCTCACACCCCCTCGACCATGACGGCAGTGTGCCCTGTGCAACAGACTAAGGGGAGCTGCCCAGGGATCCTGGGCAAGTGACGGAACTGACTCACTGCCGTTATGTGTCACATGAGAACAGTAACAGCATTTATTTTCCACAATCTGTTGTGAAGGTTCGGTTGAATGCGGAGTGATGAGACGCGTGCGTGGCACGCAGCAAACAGTAAACCGTTACTGGTCGGCACCACTCACGACTCTTCTATTTCCCGAGCCACCGGGCCCAGGAGTTGCTGGAGGTATCTCGGACCTGGGCCGACCTTGGCCGTGGATTCCAGCTCATCGGCTCCAGCCTCATAGCTGGGGAGCCCTCCCCTGACAGCCCCAAAGCCCTCAACCGCGAGGACCACGGAATAGGCTCTCCGGGTTTCCTTCCATTCGCCCCTCACGGCGAAAGTTCCCTTCAAAACGGGATAATGACCCGCCGCACAGGGCTGAGCAACAAACCGGCTTCCGAATCCCAAGGCACTCGGAGAACGGCAAGCAAGGCCCGTCCCAGGCAAGCTTAAAATCTCGTTTAAAATCTGGACTGGAAAGGTGGTCGCGGCCGGCCTCACACCCCGCGCCGCGACGGGACTCACCTGTGAGTAGCGCAGCGCTGTGGCGTTCAGGTGAGCTACTCAAGCGGGAGCGCAGGCGCAAAACGACGCCGCGAGTGCATCTCCCGGCAAGCCCCGCGACTGCATCCCCCGGCAAGCCCCGCGACTATCCGGATCCTGTGGGGCGGGGTGGCAAGTTGAGCCTGGGTTCCGGTGCCTCCCGCGCAGAGCGCGGCCCTCCCCTTTCAGCCCAGTTACTAGAGTGTTTGTCAAAACTTCGGATCCCGGACCTCACCGCGACACTAAGGCAGTGGATCTCCCATGCTTGGGCATTTGCATTTTAATACACATTCCTGGGGTCCTGACTCAAGTCTCCCGCGGGTCACACCGGTCTTGGGCGTCTTATTTTCTTTTCTTCAAGAGTGGAGCTTCGACCAATCGATCTTGGCCCCCTACACACATCCCTCCCGCTTTCAAATGCCACCGGAGCCTCCGGAGTTTCAAGACTTGTCCGATGGCCCTACCTCTCGTCTTCCCATTGGCCCCTATCTCATTCCACCCCACAGGCATTCCTTCTCTTTTCATTGGTCGGCGGCGACTGTGGAGTGATCTGACCCAATGGGGGCTGAGTTTCGGAAAACGTCACCCGGAAGTTGGTCCCGAGCAGGCGCTGTTGCCTTATGGACGCCTAACTCGCGCGGTAGGACTTCCGGCGTGGGAGCTGCGCGCCGAGTCCTGCCAGGATTCACGGCTGGGAAAGAGAGTGGCTCCCAGGTTTTGGGTCCTGGAGGCCCTGGCGGAGCCAGGCGAAAATACCGCGTCCGGGACCGACTGAGGCTGAAGGCTGCGCCCGGGGAGGAACATCGCTCCTCCGCTAGGGCTTGCAGTCCCGGGCCCGCCGGCTACTGCAGACGCCACCCATCTTTGCGTGGGGACCCGGGGCCCCTTCCCAGACGGGCACAACTGATTTCGGGGCCCAGGCGATCCGGGACCTGGTAATGGCGTCGGACCCGGGCTCCCAGGAGCGGGAAGGGCTCCTGATCGTGAAACTGGAGGAGGACTGTGCATGGAGCCAGGAGCTTCCTACGCCCGACGCAGGGTCCAGCACACTGTCTGCTCACCTGCGCTTCCGACGGTTCCGCTTCCAGGAGGCCGCTGGCCCCCGAGAAGCCCTCAGCCAGCTCCAGGAGCTGTGCCACGAATGGCTGCGTCCCAAGATGCGCACTAAGGAGCAGATCCTGGAGTTGCTCGTGCTGGAGCAGTTCCTGAGCATCCTGCCCCCGGAGATCCAGAGCAGGGTGCAGGAGCTGCATCCGGAGAGCGGCGAGGAAGCGGTCACCCTTGTGGAGGACATGCAGAGAGAGCTTGGGAGATTGAGGCAACAGGTGAGAGAAAGAGCGAGTTTACTCGGAGTTGGTTGGGCCCCAAGGACTGGGACATCCTGATGGCTTATTTTTCCCCATTCGAATTTGCTGGGTTGCCCTGAATAGACCTTACAGGGGCAAGGGGCTCCTAAATTGACAGAACGTTCAAATTCTGTTCTGACATGGAGGGAGTGTCGTTGCCATTGTTAGCGTGAGCTCTGGAGTTAGATCGCCAAGATTTACACCTGGCTCCGCTAAGTACTAGCGTTGTGATCTCGGGCAATTTGCTTGATGTCTTTGGTAAAATGGGGGTGCTGAACTACCCCTCCTGGGGTGGTTTTGAGGGCTAAAGGGAGAAAGCCAACAGCATATTAAGTTTTGATCAAGTAACGTTAATAACGGTCCACTATTACATTCAGGAGCTCTGGTGGCTTAGTGGGTAAGACAATTGGTTGCTAACCAGGTCAGTGGTTCAAACTCACCAACTGCTCTGGGGGAAGAAGATGAGGCACCTACTTTTGTAAAGATTTACAACCATCGAAACCCAATGGGGGTTGCTATGAGTCGGTATTGACTTGATGGCAGTGGATTGTGAATTAACAGGCCTGGGAGGGAGCTCTCGTAGCATAGTGCCTAAGACACTTGACTGCTAACCAGAAGGCTGGCAGTTCAAACCCACCAGCCACTCCTCAGAAGGAAGATGGGGCAATCTACTTCCGTAGTGATACCACCTCGGAAACCCATAACAACAATAGTCTGAGGTCCTTCGTTGTGCGGTGTCTCAGCTGACTGTGAACTTAGAAAACCAGTTTGGCACTGATGCTCTGAGGTTCCCTGTTCCCAGGGCCACCCAAGTTAGCTCATCTAATTGTGAGAAATGGAAGCATCTAGAAAAGGTTGGCGAGAGGAAGAGGGAACGAGGTGTTTGAGAAGAGCTGTGTGGGGAAGGGTGTGCAGACACACACACACACTCTTAGATTGAGGCACATGGGATCAAAACACCCTCTGGCAGGGTCCGAAGGGATGGCTGTGGTTCTCTGTGGACCCTGTGCTGACGCCCCTACCTAGCGGGCCCTGTTGTGGTGATGAGTGATGTGGGTTGGTCCCCAGGTCACAGTCCGTGGGCGGGGAACGGCAATGCATTGGGAGGAGACTTTGCCTGTGGAAACAGCACGAGAGTCACCGAGCTTCAAGCTGGAGCCCATGGAGACTGAGCGAAGCCCTGGCCCCAGGCTGCAGGAGCTGCTAGGCCCCAGCCCCCAAAGGGACCCCCAAGCTGTAAAGGAGAGGGGTGAGGAGCAGTTGGTGGGGCAGGTGGGAGGGAGGAGGGGCTTCGGGGCTGCCCCAGGCACCAGCAGGCCAAGGACAGGGCGTTTTTGAAGTCCCAAGTTCTCAGGTGGGCAGTGAAAGGCCTAGAACTGGTGGATTGGGTTCTCCTGGGCCGGGGGGAGGAGCTCTGGGGACATAGTGGCTGCAGCATTTGGCTGCTGCTAACCAAAAGGATGGCAGTTCGAACCAACAGAGAAAGATGAGGCAATCGGCTTCCATAAAGATCTATAGCCTTGGAAAACCTATGAGGCAGTTCTATTCTGCCCTGTAGGGTCACCATGAGTCGGAATTGACTCTATGATAGTGGGTTTCGTTTGGGGTTTTGGTGGTGGGGAGGCAGCTCTCTGTTGAGCATTTTATTATGTAAAACAGAGGCCACCTCGTTTTCTCACGGGAGGGAGCCCCGCAGGATGACGGGGAGCCTACTGCTATTTCCTGCCTCTGGCCCCATCATTCCGGGTATCTCTTTATTGCACAGACGGGGTGTTGGGGAATAGACCGATGTAAGACTCCTCCTGGGGAGCCAGGCGTGCAGGCCGTTCTCACAGTGATCTCTGTCACCTGCAGCACTGTCTGCTCCCTGGCTCTCTCTCTTTCCTCCTGAAGGGAACATGGAGGACAAGCAGATGACCAGGCCCCAGGTGATGTGGACATTCCCATTGTCTCCCCCCGCCCTTCCTCCTCCCCTGGGAGTGTGCCTCTCGCGGGGGCGGGGCCTTTCTGCCACCTGCAGAGGCTCTGCCTCCTTCGCCACCTGCTTGGGCCCCTCCACACCTAGCCTGTAGGGCTGGCACCCCCTTCCCCATGAAGCGTGTTCTGGGCACCCCCAGTGTTTGCCCCTTTAACCCGCAACTCTCTTTGAATTGTTCTGGGCGCGTCCGGGGCTAAAGGCGAGCTTGTGCTGTTTCAGTTGCCGGAGAGCTTAGAGGACGTAGCTGCGTACATCTCCCAGGAGGAGTGGGGCCATCAGGAGCCTAGTAAGAGGACCCTCTCCAGGGACACGGTGCAGGAGAGTTACGGGAACATGGACTCACTGGGTAAGGATATTTTCTCTAGGAATGAAGAGTGAGCCTTCCGACCAGGGTCCTATCCCTTAGACACACACCTAGTTTGTTTGTTTTTTTAATTTTTACTGTGGTTTAGGTGAAAGTTTACAGAGCAAAATCTTTCTCCCTACAGCAGTTCATGCACATTTTCATGTCATTGACTGCAATTTCTCACAGTGTAACAGCTCTCTTCCCACTTCCTCCCTATAGTTACCTCTTCCCTGTGTCCTTCCCTCCTATGCATTCCTGCCCCCTGAGCTGTCTCCCTGTGCAAACACTGCCCTTCTGCTCTCTCATGATTGATCACTCCAAGGAGTGTATCTATCTGATGTAAATGTTCACCCTATATGCCTGTCTGTGGTTTGGCTGGAAGCCACGGGAGTGAATTCAGTTCCAGACTTGGTGGGTAACTAAGGCCATAGTCTCACCAGGTTCTATCAGACCAGCAAGCCTGGTCTTTTTTATGATTTTGAGTTTTGTTCCACATTGTTCTCCCACTCTATAGTTGACAGTGGTAGCTGGGGACCATCTAGTTCTGGCCTCTTGGTCATATTGGCTGAGGCTTCCATGGTCCACTAGTCCCTTGGACTAACTGTTTCCATGCATCTTTGGTTTTCTTCATTATTGTTTGCTGTGGACGAGGGGAGACCCACTGTTTCATCTACATGACCATCTGCAAGCTTTGAAGACCCCAGTTGCTACTTGGCAAAGTAGGTTGTAGAACAATGTTTTTTGTGTAGTATGTTATACCAGCTGACCCTGATGTCCCCTGCCACCATGCCCTGAGCCCTGGGGTCAAACAACTCACTCCATTTGGGTGGTTGACTGTGCCTGAGAAGTTATCAAAGCTTTGCCTACTTATGTGGACATTCTCTCCGCACATACAAATGCGTATGTAGAAATATCATCTGGCAACCGTATATATGATCATGGGTATATTCCCTTTTGCCTACACATACTTGATCATTCGTTGCAGACACGTACCTTTGGGTGTAAACTCTGAGTTTTGTCAAGAAGCCTCCACAGGAGATGTCCTTTACCTGCAGTCCCCTTGACTAGATCAGCTAAAACACACACCAAGTGGCCCAGCCAGCACACTTGCAGGCAGCCCTGGACACCAGCTGTCAGAGCCTAAGGCTCTGGACCATAATGGGCTTCAGAGTACAAATAAATCAGATCCAGTGACCCCACCCCCTCTACATACACACACACACACACACACACACACACACACGCAAGCGTCCAAGGACGCTGTGGTACTGAGTGTTTTCTTCCTTGTGGTTTTGAAAAGCTTGTTCTTCTGTGCTGTCTTACACTTATTATGCTCCACTTATATCTAGGCCTTTCCACAAAGACAGAGTTTCAGGCACCAGCATCAACGCTCCAGGCTCCAGCGTGTCAGCTGTCAGTCAGTAAAACCTCAGGCAGGGTTCTCTAACTGCTCAGAGACATGGTGGAGACCTGGGAACAGTGTGTGTATCCAGATAGGAGCTGAGTAAATTGAACAGTCATGAAAGGGCACTCTGGTCGGACTGTTGTGTAGAGATGAACAATGATGCCTGTGAAATACAGGAGTTCTGGTCACTGGACTGAGCGGGAATGTATACAAGGATTCGTCGTGTCTCTTAAAAAACAACATGAAACAAGATGTGTGTACGTTACTCCTAAAGTTCTGTTGACACCTGCATACTCCAGGAGAAGGGAACGCCCTGTCCTTCAGGTCCACACGTCAGACTTAAACAGGGAGGGTCACAGCTGCAGAGTCATCCACAATAGTTCTGCACGGGTTACCACAGGCGTGTGACTGTTCATTGGGACTGTCTCCAGTCCTCCGCAGCTTTGCCCCGTGCTAGGATATCCAACAGTGAACAGAAGAGCTCTATCAGTGGGGACTGTGCACAGGGAGACCTTCAAATCACACTTTCTTGAATTAGACGTCAGTTTACCTCCACGTTTGCTGGAGGTGGCATGAGGTTTTTGTTCTTTCTAGTACAGCATGACAGTGGTGTTTTTGATCTTGAACCTCATGGCCCTGTTGGAGGCCCAGGTCTTTTCTTATTACCCATCACATTAATGTGACACTTCCTGGAGTTGCCTTGCCAAACTGAGTTCTATTTCAGATTCATATCTAAGAGTGGAGGCTCTTCTACCATACTAAGCTGATCCTGCAAGGAACTGGCCATGTCAATGAAGTTCTTTTTATTGTTTCAGTTAAAAAAGCTTTCATTCTCATTGCACAAAATCTAAGTACTATAAAAGTAGTTGGGTTTTTTTTTTTCTTTAAAGAAAGAAACACAACCTAGCCTCCCTGCCCTGATTTTTCTAGAGAGAACTGCTGAGAACAGTGGAGTGTGTGTTCCAAGTAATTGCCGGCAGACTTAATGAGCAGAGAATTCTCTGTCCATTTTCTGAGTGCAGGGATCAAGACTGTCTTTATTTCCCAGCCTGGCAGAGAAAAGTACTGATGCAGAAATCTGTTCCTTTCACTGTGAACAGAGTCTCCGACTCCAGGTCAGGAGGCCCTGAGTGCCCAGGCAGAGCAAGGAGGGAAACCGTGGGATCCCAGGCTCCAGAGCTGCAAGGAGGGCCCGAGTCCCGGAAGCCCAGCTGCAGGTAAGACAAGGAGCTGCCTGCCTAGCAAGGCGCCCAGCTGTGAAGAGTGAAGCGTTTGTGTGTTGGGTGCTGGCCGGGGGGGGTCCATTGCTTCCTCTGTCCCTACTTGCCTGTTCCATCCCAGGGCTGGGACTAGGGTAAGGAAAGTGAGGGCCCAGGGGGCAAAGATAAGAAGCCTTCACTCTTTGGCTAGTTCACCCCTCCAGAGTCAAAGCCCTGCTCCGTCTTCCCCCTTCCTGAAGGGTGGAAGCCTGGGGCTCCGTTGGAGAGGTGCGTGGACCCCCCAGGTGGGGACGCCAAGATGGGGCTAAACTCTGATTGGTGGAGTAGTTGCCTCACCCCTTTTCCCGAAGCTTCTCTGGAGAAGACGGGAAACAGGCCAAATCAGCCCTCCAGACTCCTCACCCACAGACAGCAGCAGATGTGTGGGATTTCCTTTCTGTCAGCATGCAAGTAACAAAAGGGTTTGCTTTCTCTCACTCTACCAGGGGAAGAGAAATTTGAGATCCAGGAGGAAACTGCTCAGACTGTTACCCCTGAGAACACCCACCCTCAGGAGCTGCCTGGCCAGGCCAGAGGGGAGGTGCCCTGGAGTCCTGAGCAGGGAAGACCTCATGACAGGTCAGACAGGCATTGGGACCCTCCCCCAGACGATCGAACGGAGCAGTCCTTAATTGGGGCCACAGGCTGCAGAGAACTGGGGCGACCAAAGGAACTGCAGCCAAAGAAACTCCATCTCTGTCCCTTGTGTGGCAAAAACTTCTCTAACAACTCGAATCTGATAAGGCACCAGAGGATTCATGCAGCAGAAAGACTTTGCATGGGTGTGGAGTGTGGGGACGTCTTTGGTGGGAACCCCCATTATCTGTCACTACACAGAGCGCACCTGGGAGAGGAGGCCCATAAGTGCCTCGAATGTGGGAAAAGCTTCAGTCAGAACACCCATCTGACCCGCCATCAGCGCACTCACACAGGCGAGAAGCCCTATCAATGCAACGTGTGTGGAAAAAGCTTCTCTTGCAACTCCAACCTCCACCGGCACCAGAGAACACACACAGGCGAAAAGCCCTACAAGTGTCCCGAGTGTGGGGAGATCTTTGCTCATAGTTCCAATCTTCTCAGGCACCAGAGAATACACACAGGAGAGAGACCCTACAAGTGTCCCGAGTGTGGGAAAAGTTTCTCTCGTAGTTCACACCTCGTCATCCATGAACGAACTCACGAGAGAGAGAGGCTTTACCCCTTCTCCGAGTGTGGGGAAGCAGTGAGCGAGTGTACCCCCTTCCTGACCAATCACAGAGCTCCCAAGTCAGAAAAAAAGCTCTTTGAATGTTTGACTTGTGGGAAAAGCTTTGGGCAGGGCATGCACCTCACCAGACATCAGCGAACACACACAGGAGAGAAACCCTATAAATGTACCCTCTGTGGGGAAAACTTCTCCCACAGATCCAATTTAATCAGGCATCAGAGGATCCACACGGGAGAGAAACCATACACATGTCACGAGTGTGGAGACAGCTTCTCTCACAGCTCCAACCGGATCCGCCACCTGAGAACCCACACAGGAGAGAGACCATACAAATGTTCTGAGTGTGGGGAAAGCTTTTCTCGAAGTTCTCGCCTTGTGAGTCATCAGAGAACTCACACAGGGTAAAAACAAGGGGATTTCTCTGACCCAGATAAAGTGACGTGGGAGAGAGTCCTGTTCTATGAACAGACTTTCATAGTTTTCTTTGCCCAACTGACCAAACGGCCTCTACGTCTTTAAGGTAATTACTATAAAGAAGAACGGGGTGGTCATGGTGAGAAGCAGCACATAAAACTAAAAATTCTGTCTGAACTAGCAAGGACGGCGAGTCTCGGGGTGACTTGCTCAGAGTGGACTTCTCCAGTAAGTCCATCCTATCCCATGGTGCACCCACATTCAGTGTATTTCTCCCATTTGTGATTTTGGTGCCTTACTGTGTCTCATGTCTGTCCCAAGCACGTTGGGAATCCATGTGATCTTTCTGTTATTATTCCCCACTTGGGACAGTCAGCAGGAGTATTCAGGCTCCAAGGCCCTTGAGACCAAACAGGAGAGGTTGAGTCTCTTGAGAAACTGGCCAGAGGCCAACAAAGATTAGCTGTGCGTTACAGCTCTCCTAAGGGCCCTGGCTGGGAAGTCCTGGGCAGTGCAGGTCAGCTACCCCAGCGCCCCTCCATGGCCTGACTGGAAGACTCATTGGCAGGCCACCCATGTCAGTGTGCCCTCAGGCAAGGAACCAGACCTGAGGAAACGGTAAGGTGGTCAGCCCAGGAGTTGGCCAAGAAGTAAGAGTGTGAATTAGTTTACCCTTTGCAGAGCTCTGGGGTACCCTACTGTGTCCGAAAAAGGCAAATAGAACTCCAGAGCCTTGTTCCTGGAGAGAGGGTTCTGTGAAAGACAGGAAGTCCCTGGAAAGTGAAAACTTGGGTCCCAGGGAAATGTGGATTATGCTCTTCCCTGTTGAAAGTATGGATGGTAATAAATATCCTACAGAAACATGAACACATGTGAGTCTTTGATGAAGGCCTTGGCCTTGCCTCTCAGTGTTGATTTGGCTCCACTCTGCCTTAGGCAGAGCACCTGCTCTGTCTTTGTGGTCTTACTGGGTTGGTCAGGAAAGTTCTGATACATATGGCAGCCGACAGGCAGCAGTATTACAGAGTACTGCCTAGTGAGCTCCAGGGCTGGGACTGGTATGTGATTAACAGGTTTAAATCCACTGGCTGCTCACGGTGATGTTCTCATAAGGTTTTCTGAGAAGTATGCTTTTCTATCATTAATGGTTGATGTGCAAAAAAAAAAAAAAAAAACTGCCATCAACTCAATTCCAACTCACAGCGATCCTATAGGGTAGAGTACAACTGCACAAATAGGATTTCCAAGGCTGAAATCATTATGGAAGCAGACTGCCCCATCTTTCTCTCATGGGTGCAGCTGGTAGGTTTGAACCGCTGACCTTCCAGTTAGGGGCTGAGTGCTTTAACTACTGTGGTAGAATCCTATGGAAGATATTTAAAAACAAAACAAAAAAAAAAACACTGCCATCAAGTTGACTCCAATTCCTAAAAAACAGAGAACTGCTGCCCCATAGAGCTTCCAAGATTGTAAATCTTTACAGAAGGAGACTGCCTCATCTTTTCTCCTGTGCAGTGGCTGGTGGGTTCAAACCATGATGTTTTGACCTTTTGGTTAGCAGCCAAATGCTTTAACCACTGAACCACCAGATCTCTTTATGGACAATACAGAGAAAAGCAAACCAGAAAATTATGTCGTGTATGAGTTGGAATCAACTCAATGGCGGTGAGTTTGGTTGGGAGCTCTGGTGGCATGGTGCCTTAGGCATCTGACTGTTTACCAGAAGGCTGACACTTCAATGCCACCAGCCACTCCTCAGAAGGAAGGGTAGGCAATCTTTCCATAGAGATACCCCCTAGAGAACCCAAGGAGGGGTCACTATGAGTTGAATCAGCTCAACAGCAGTGAGTTTGTTTTTCGTTTATCTTAATAGAAGGAGCTCTGGTGAGATAGTGGGTAAGGCATTTGGCTGCTAACCAGGTCGTCAGTGGTTCAAACCCACCAGCTGCTCCAGGGGAGGAAGATGAGTCAACTACTTCTGTAAAAATTTACAGCCTTGGAAACCCAATGGGTGTCGCTATGAGAATTGACTTGATGGCAGTGGTTTTTGTTTTTTTTAAAATCCTATTAGAGGAAAGCATTGCATTTTAGAATGAGGAATGGGTATTCTAAGAGTGTATCTATGGAAGAGGTAGAATACCAGGGACGATTCTAGGAGTAGGAAATTCTGTTGTGCTGCTGTTGTTATGTGCCGCTGAGTCGGACCCGACTCATAGCGACCCCTCCTTGGGTTTCCGAGGCAGTATCACTATGGAAGTAGATTGTCCAACCTTCCTTCCAAGGAGTGGCTGGTGGCTGGTGGATTTGAACCACCAACCTTCTGGTTAGCAGTCAAGTGCCTTAGTCACCCAGAGCTAGTGCCTGGAAAATACGGCCCTGGAGGAAAGTATCTGACTAGTTCTTTGGGAGAAAAACGTGACAAAACATTCCATCGTTGCCAGGCTATGAAATACAGTGATACATGATGGAAACAACCCATGCCTCACCTTCCTGTTCCTTGTCAGTCTTGTCTCAACCCTGCCCCAGCTGAGTGGGAGTTTTTCCTGAGCCACCCTTAAAAATGTCACAGTTCCTCATTTCTTTCCCTTCCTCTTACCACCTTGTTCCCAGGAGGAGGGCAGTGGTTATGTATGGGTGAGGGGCAGTAAAGATTACTGTTGAGGAGGTAAAGATTAGAGAGATTAATAGTAGGCTCACCAGTGGTAGGAGCAGGCCTGAGGTCCCGCAGGGCATGGCTGATGTGGCTGCTGCTGCCCTGAGACATGTGGAGCACTTGTTAATGGCAGAGAGACATCTGACCTCAGCTAACTTCACAAGGTGGGGAAGCGCCAGCGTCAGCCCAAGGCTGATTCCTGACGTCAGCCCAAGGCTGATTCCTGACCAGTGGATGTAAGACATAGCTCCACCCTCCAACCTTTTTGCCAATTCTTATATCAGCCATTCCTCTTACAACACTCCCTACTTCTCTGCTGGGTTTGTAATTCATTGCAGTGGCCACACAAACTCACAGACCATGCTTAAAGTTAAGTGGTTTATTAGGGAAGCAACAGGCTGCAACTCAGAACCAGGACACAAAGCGTGCTGGCCCTCCTTTCTTCAGTGCGGGACATCTCTCTCAACTTGTCTCTACTGGACGGGCTCATCTCTCAGCCCTTGTCCCCACTTGGACCTGGCCTTTACCCTGGTCAGGGAAGTGTTACTAGGCTCTTGAGCTCTGCCAGTCAGTTGCCAGAGGCGCCACAACTTGGCACGAAGGCTCCTGCCTGAAGACACTCATCTCCCTGGCTCCATTGATCGACAAGCCTAGCTCTACCAAGAACTGCCCAGAAGCACCCCACCCGGCCAGTAAGCTACCTGCCCAAAGGTGCTAAGCTGTGGCTCCACGGGTTGACAAGCCTGGCTCTGCTGACAGCTGCCCAGAGGCACCCCAGTCCACCAGCAAGCCACCTACCTGAAGATACTCAGCTCTCTTGCTGTGAGGGGTCAGCATGCCCACCACTGCATTGTTCTGTGGGCCAGGAAGCCCCCTCTGCTGCCTTGTGCCAGTCTCCTGGTTCTGCTGCCACCGTTTTGCTGCCGCTGCTTCTCACTGTCTTGTGCTGTCTGTAGTGTTACAGCTCTCGCCCCTGGGTCTAGGAAGTTCTCAGCACAGTGACCCCAGAGCCAAAGGACATGCCCCGTTCCTGGCTTTTCTTTCTTGCTGGGATTGAGATCCCCACTCTCCTCTGGGTTAGGGTCCCTTTTAAGCCTAGTGGGATGGCAAAACTGACCAATCCCCTTGTCGGGGCACCATACAGCTTATCTGCATGGCTCCATCCCCTTGGTGGGCTATAAACACTTTATTTTCAGAGTCTCACCCAATCATTGTGTGGCATTTACAAGGCCATGCATGGCTTAAAAGCACCATATAAAGTAAGTGCACCAAAGTGGTGTAGAATTAATGTTTTTACTATGCATTCTCTCTGGTTAAAATGATATCTTATGTGGGTGCTGGAAGGCTGGCGGTTCAAATCCACCAGCCACTCCTTGGAAGATGGGCCAATCTACTTCCGTAGTGATACTGCCTTGGAAACCCAAAGAGGGGTCGCCGCTATGAGTCAGGTCCGACTCCACGGCATACAACAACAACAACAACATGTGGGTGCTAAGTCTTATAGGAATGGAAGCCATCCCCATTGTTCCCCCACAACCCAACAGTCAGCCATTCTGGTCTTATGATGTGGCCAGGCTGATGTTGCTGCTACTGAGTATTGCTAGTTAAAGCTAGAGCCCCTGGGAGCTACTAGAAAGGCTTTCCAGTAGGAGCCTTCATCCAGGTCCCCTTTGGCCAACTTTGCATTCACAGCTGTCCTCTGCCTTGCTTTAATGAGATGATGTTACACACAATATCACGTGTAACACACTTAGCACAGTCCCTGCCACGCAGAAGGCACTCATCTCTCCGTCCCACTGGGGACAGAGAGTAAAAGCTTTGCTTCCTTCTAAGCACCTGGCACTGGGGTCAGTGGAAGGCCACGCTGGCAGGTATTTCTGGAAGCAATCCCCCATCAAGAGGTAGTAGTGATGACTTCCTGTGAAGTCATGTGCCAAGGAGCAGGTGGGAGCCCCCTTACTGCAGGCTCCCATGAGACCACTGCAAAGGATACTTTCTTACATTAACACACTGACTGTTGAGTCCTTCTGTAAAAGAAGCCATAACAGATTTCAACTGAAAGGAAGCCCGATTCTGGGGAGCCTGATGGTGGTTCCTAAACTCATGGGTACAACGGAGACCTGGGAGAGGAGCACTGACCCTGAGCAACAGCCATGTGGCCTTGAGGCAAAGGCTTCACCTGAGACCAGCAGATAGGTTCCTAGGTGGAGAATCGGTCTGCTTAACCCTTTTGTGACCTGTAGGACACACAGTGCCCATGTACATTTTTAATCTCTGGATTTAGTAGGAACTATCCCACTCGATACCCCTGCTGCCTCCACGGAAGACGGCACTGCAG